GGCAGACCCTTTGTGCTTGTCTGTTCACCGAAAGGTTGTCAAGCCAAACCTCACCCACTGCCACCGGACAGGACAGGGCAGAGCTGCCCCTGTGACTGAGGCTGTCAATCTTTCCAGCGGTACAAAGCCTCATCTTTCTCCCACGGAGCCGCAGGCTGGTGGTTTTAAACTGCTGCCCTGTGGTTAGCAACTTAACTTGTAACCCACTAGGCCACCAGGTATCCCGTAATGGCCACATGTGGACTGTTGCCTCATGGTGATTACCAATGATCTAGCGAGACGTCACAGGAATGACACCGACTGAGTTACAGGTCCTGCTAAATTCAAAGTCAGCCACTTCCCACCGGACACCCCAAGACTCGCCTGCCCACTCATCACTCATTCATCACAATCATTAGGGAATGCCTCCTATCAGACCCCAACCCTGGCTCATAGCACCCCACCTCCTATAGCCACCTGATCCAAATAAAACCTGGCTCCTGCCCCTACCTCGAGGGGCTCTGTCTGGTGGGCTGGGCCTGGTGCTCAGAGATTCTTGCAGATTGAATTCCTCACCTCTGTTGAGTCCTTTCGGATTCATAGCAGCCCTGCAGGATGGTCCTATAGCTCTAGAGGTTCCTATAGAACTGCCCCTACGGGTTTCCGAGACAGTAACTCTCAACAGGAGCAGAAAGCCTCCTCTTTCTCCTTCAGAGCAGCTGGCAGTTTTGAACTGCTGACCATGCAGTTAGCAGCTGGTCCCATAACCCACCACACCACCTCACTCACCACGGAGTCAACGCCGACTCATGGCGGCCCCCTGTGGGTTTTCCGAGACGGTAACTGCTTCCCGGAGTAGAAAGCTCCTGGCATGCCCAGATCCCCTGAGAACTTAACTGCCTAGCGATCAGTGCCCTATCGACATGCAAGGAATGCTGGGAGCTCTGTTGGCCAAGGTTGACCTTGCCTGGGAAGGTCGTGGCCAGGGCACTCTCTGTTCTCAGCTGTGCCCGAAAGGTGGGGAGTTCCACTCTGCCCAGACAATCCTGGAAAGACAGGTCTGGCCACCGATTCTGAATGACCATCTGCTAAGGACCTGGTGGGGCCGCCCACTGCTGTCCTGACCATGCAGGTCTCAGGAGTTGAACCACACTGGACAGCAGTGGGCGTTGGTGGTTTTATCCTAACCTGGGGGCCAGGAAAAGGCTTCTGGGAGGGGCATGGGCTGGTGCTGGGGGGGAGGGCGGTAGTAGTGAGGCTGCCTAGGGGCCTATGGCAGGGTGGGCTCGCCCACCTTCCTCTCAAACCACCAAGGCCCAGGCACGACTTCCTGCCAAGACACTCCCCTGCAGCTGCTTTCCGTTCTGAGACGGGGCCCTGCACCCTCGACCAGGGGACACTTGGGCGTGTTTTCATCTAAACATCCGGCTCCCACAACCAGCCAGCTCCAAATGAACCCTGTTTAACGTCGGCCCCAGCCTGGTTTCCGGGGTCACCGACCGGTAGACAAACCTGCTCTCAGCGCTTCCTGAATCCTGTTGATTCTGCCTTAGGAACAGCTCCAGAACCTCCCACCCCGGCTGCCCACAGCCCAGCCTGCATCCTGTCTCCCCTTCTCTCCGCCCGTCTCCCATACTGCTGAAGAGTGGACTCTGTTATCAGCCGTACCAGCCCCCAGGAGAACGGGCGGGGTGGCCCTGTCCCCCAGCTCCCACTGCATCAGAAACCACCGCTAGTCCCAGTGCTGGAGACCTGCACGTGCTTATTATGTCTCTGATTCTGGGGGCTGTCGTGGTCTGCTGGCCGGGGACGGCCTCGTCTTCAGGTCTGGAGCCTCTGCTGGGATATTGTTTGCCATCCTTGGAGTGGCTCGCTCCAACCCTAGCCCCACTCACTGCCATCGAGCCCATGCTCACCGGCAGCGACCCTGTAGGGCACAAGAGAACTGCCCCTGTGAAATTTCTGCGGCTGTCAGTCTTTATGGGAGTAGACTCACCTTTCTCCAGAGGAGCAACTGGTGGTTGGTTTTGAACTGCTGACCTTGTGGTTCGCAGCCCAATGTTCAACCCACTAGTGTCACCAGGGCTAACCCTAAAAATTAGAGCCTAGAAAACCCGTCAGTGCGGAGAGACTGTGACAGGTGGGATCGCCATTTGTCAGGACCCACAGAACAGAGACTGCTGGGTTGTTTTGTTTTGTATTTCATATTAAGACTCACTGCCATCAAGTTGATTCCTACTTCCCGAGACCCTACACAGAGTCTCTGGGTCTCTGAACCCTTACGGGAGCAGACAGCCTCATTTTTCTCTCCAGGAGTGACCAGTGGGTTTGAACCGTGACCTTGCTATGAGCGCTGCTAATGCCTAGTCAGGCTTCTGATGGATAGGAGGCCTGCAGGGACTACACTGGGCAGAACTATGTGTTCAGCCGGGGCCCATCACTGCAGTGATCTGTCCACCTGGGGGGTTCAGAGGCAGGTTGGGGGCCAGGCAGATGGGGGTGTCTTTCTGTTGTAACACCGTCCCATCGGTAACACTGGTAACCAATACGGCCGCCTGTGGGATTGCCTAAGGAGCCTGGTGGCGTAGTGCATTGCACGCCGGGCTATGCTTCTTGAGAGACAGAAGGGGCTTTCTACTCCTGTGAAAACTCACAGTCTCGGGAAGCCTCGGGGGCAGTTCTGCCCTGTCCTGCAGGGTCGCTATGAGCCGGCATTGACTCGGCAGCAGTAAGTTTGGTTTTTTGTTTGTGCCCGTTGTTAGTAGGTTTTGTTTCATTTTTTTAAAATAAATCCAGTCTTTTTGTAAACATCTGAGAATAAGAACATTAGCAAATGATGTGCTCTTGCCTCTGGAGCAACCACCCTCCAAAGATGGTTGTAAGGGGGACTCCCTCTGCCCTAACCTGGGGACTCCTGGGTAAGTAAGTGGGTGGAGCGTGGACACACCGGTGAATGCATTTGAAGTTCCCGCTGTCGTCGTTAGAAGGCCGTGGAGGGGCTGAATACCAAGCCTGACAAAAGCCGTTCTCTTTCCGCCCAGATGCCAGCTGTCTGACTGGAAATCCCACCGAGAAGCAGTCTGCCTCCTCCAGGCTGGGAAGGGCAAGTGCTGCCCGGTTTCTGCCCAGTGCAGTTGCCCCTGAGGACAGGGATGGACAGCCACGGAGGAGACTGAGGTCAGTGGCGGCTCGCCTGTGCCCTGGCAAGTGGGAGTGAGTATGGGGTATGTGGTCTTGTCGGGAGAGTCGTGTTACTCTGGCTGTAGAACTTGACCGAAGTGTTTTGAATATACGATTTGCAAGTTGGAGTCACATTTTGACTAAGCAAACCAAACTCACTGTGGTCAACTGATGCCGTGCAACAGAGGGAACTGCCCCATGGGGTAGAGAACCACCCATGGGGCTCCCAGGAGGCAGAAATCTTTATGGGAGCAGACAGCCTCACCTTTCCCCCGCCGAGCGCTGGTCGGCTGTGACAACCACTTGGGTGTCGGTGCGCCAGCACTTGGCCCAGTGCGTCCCCAGGGCCCCTGACCCTTCTGGAGAATCACAATGTTCCTCAGATGAGAAGAACGTTGCGATTTCTTTTTTTTTTTTTAAAACATTTTATTAGGGGCTCATCCAACTGTTATCGCAATCCATACACACATCAATTGTGTAAAGCGCATTTGTACATCATTCTCAAAACAGTTTCTCTCCACTTAAACCCCCGCCGTTAGGTCCTCATTTTTCCCCTCCCTCCCCTCCGATTTCTTAGTGTATCCGAATTGCCATGGAATTGAGGGTCGGGCAGGACTGGGGATCGATCATGCTTGTGGCTGGCGGAGGCACAACTTGTATGGCGTCTGCCGTCGTCTCAAGAACCATTGCACTAATGACCCACGGGCCCTCGCCGTAGCCCCCAGGCTGACCTTTGGCCTTTGTGGCCTGAAACTGACCACATTCTTCACAAGGGCACAAAGCCCAAGTGAATCTGTGCCCCCGGCAGACCGTTGTGTGAGTCACAGGTTGGCTTCTCAAAACCTGAAAACTGCCTGCCACCGCGCCCAGTCCCAGCCAGGTGACGCCGTGGGCACGCAACACCGCCTGCCCGCCCCATCCTCATAGTGACCCCTGTGCTGAGCCCACCAGGCAGCCCCTGGGTCGGCCCGTCTCATCGAGGGCCTTCCTCCTTCCCACTGCCCTTCCACTGTGCCAAGCATGATGCCCTCCTCCAGGGACTCGTCTGCCGACACCCTGTCCAAAGTGTGAAG